CACTAGAAAGAGCAGGAAATTTCCGATAAGATAGATATGGTTCTAGAGTTTTCTCCTGCTCATATAAGAAAGTTATCGACCCGAACAGGGTTTAAGAATGGCTAAAACGTGTGAGTTTAGCAGTTTTTGGAAAAAAATGTATGTGTGCAAACGCGTGATCGCCGCGTGTTATACATCACTAGAAAGAGCAGAAAATTTCCCATAAGATAGATATGGTTCTAGAGTTTTCTCCTGCTCATATAAGAAAGTTGTTTAGAGGAAGAGTACTTAAGCGTTTCTGCGTGTAGGGATGGACATGAAGGGTGATTTAAGCATGACGCCGACAGATATTGACAGACGAAAACCCGGATTAAGATAGCTGAAGGAGCGCCCTTTCTGACTGTGATAACAGTTTTTTTAAATTCGGTTTCGTAACAATTGTACAAGGCCTTGAAGTTTGGTAATTTTGAGCTATTTTAAGTACAGCGCGGTGTTCTTCATTTTTTATTGTTCTTAATATTAACTTATCGGCAGACGAAAACCCGTTTTTTTTTAGATAGAGAAAGATTCAAGCTTTCAAGTGGTGCATTTAGTTTTTCGCCATCCCTAATTATAAGGAAGATATCAGCTAAGAAAGTAGATAGGAAATTACGGGTAAAAGTTTGTTGCTATCGTCGCACGGGTCATTTTAATGCGATTCTAGACGGTAGACAAATTAATCGGTAAAAGAGTGATTCATGTCACGAAAAATGTATCGATCGGGAGTATTTTTCCATTTGCTGTTTGCGTCATTAGCTCCCCCTACAAAACCTTGATTAACTTTATCACCCTTCGCATCGCTTCGGGGTTAAGCGTTTGCGGGTAAATGCGCCCTTCGCAGTTCCGTTACTATTTTTGGCGTCTCCTGCTCGTAAAACGACCTAACATAGCTTCGTGACGTAATCATTGTCGTGAACAAATAACCAACCACTACCTTTAAAAACTTCTACTGCATTAAAATTTCATTCATATTAATTAAAGTAAAACGTTATTTGAATTAAATAATAATTTGTTATGGCGTTTACGCTGTTATAGATAAAGTTAAAGTATACATAGAGTTGTCTCCGACGTTTAATTATAGCTAAACATCGCGTCGCGACGAGCTACTGGGAAATTCTTCTGTACTCAGAATGGAGGTCAACGGCGCCAGCTTTTGCATAATTAACGTTTGGCAAGCGCGAAACTCCCGGTCGTTTCGAACCAGATTCTAAAATTAATTTATGTACGAATTATACGAACATTGTTGTGGCGTTATCGGGTCGATACGTGTAAACAGGAATTGGAACGGGATAATTATGTGATTTGCAATGACCGTGCGTAGATATTGGCGTAACGTGCGTTACGAACGTCGAGATATAAAGAACCGTTACACGTCCCGCCCTGAAACTGACATTAAAAGCACATTTATTATCTATTTATCGTTCAGTTTTATTATCGAGGCTTCTTCTCGTAAATCAACACTTTCAGAACATTGCATTTCTGGATTTCTGTTATTCCGCATACTTTTATATTGTTTTCATTTTTTTTTTCGATTGTTTAATTACAAGGAAGTAAATTAAATTTAAATTACCCAAAGAGAACCCACAAAACTAATAAACCTTGTTCAAGTCGTCCTTCTCCAAACGTACCCCAATGTTTCCTGAAAACCTACAGTATTACATCCCTCCGGTCCTTCATTATACCGTCCACGTAAACGTTTTCATTTTCCCGTCTGTTCGTCTGGGCTTGTTTGCGCTGCGTACACTTCACAAACACGCAAACAAATACCAACGGAGGCCGAACACTGAGACCTCTACATCGTGTTTCATCGGGGAAGCAATTTCGCATCTGAAATGCCTCTTCGAGGCCAAAATAGATCTTACTCATTTCCCGGGGAATAATTAGAAGACGGTTTTTAATTACTTTCGTTATAATTTATAATAACTTCAATTATTTCTAGGCTGTTTGAGTTGTTTACATGGTTGGTGGAAATATCAGAAGACGCCCCAGAACCTTATGACGACGCGAAAGTAGTCTGGACTGCGAAATTCGAACCACCATCCGATGTGGAAGCCGCTGGAGAACACAAAACCGACGGTAGGAAAACTACCATGAAATTGGATATACAAAAGGATGATATTCAAGCCGTCGTGCCAATTAGCAAGGTGAGTTAGACGGATTGTTAATTAGGCAAAGGGTTGTTATTACGTTTATAAATCATTTTGGGGTAGGAAATTCGACTCAATCGATACAATATAACTTCGCGTTGGAAACGAAATGTTTTTGACGACGGGGAAATGCCCCCATCGAAAACTGGGGAGGTCGAGATCTTGTGGCACCATCTAACGGTCGAGAGAGCGCTAGAGCTGTGTCGAGGGGGCCGAGTGGCGCCGCTTCAACTTCTCAAGTACTTTTAACTCTTATATATGTGTTAGCCCTCGAAAGCTACTGAAGGTACCAGGTTGTTCACCGTGTACGCTTTATTATCGAAAAAAGAATACTAGCAGGGAAAAAGAGTGAACACAAAGAATGCTACGTCATTGCTATATGGATCGTGTCTAAGTACCCGTAGAAAATTGATGAGTTAATATTTATTGCTTTAATTATTATAAATGATACTTAATATCCTCGATAACGTTAAAGACGCTTAAAGACATTAATGTCTGTTAACACTGATTACATCAAGTACATTTTTCTATATATAAAAAAAATTATAGTGTCAAGCAAACGCCTTTTTGTGCGATCCCAAAACTTCGTATCCCAAGTTGCAACAGCTTGTTCATGCAAATTCGCCCCTAAAACAAACGATCGATACCGAATATGCAGCCAGGAGGGCGTTCGAGCTTTGTGCATGTATTCGACGGATGTTTTATGCATCCTGCGAACTTGTACAATCGTACGGCCCCTTTAAAAAAAATAGATTTCCTATAAAACAAAAAAAATTTACAAAAAATACGTTTGTCACTAATTTAGGGACAAATAAAAATTGGAATGGTGGTGGGCGCCCTTCCAAGGCATTAAAGGGTATTAATATCGCAAAACTGCACTTCCTTTACAGATATTGTGCTGTAAATAACCTGGGGCGAGAGGCTGTGCATTATTTATAAGGACAAAAGAGCCAATGAGAGTTGCTCTGGTGCGGCACTTGTACGTGTAGTTGCTCCACCTTACCACGGATAAATTGGCGGTGCTGCTTGTGGATTTATGTCGACGCTTATTGTGGAATATTTTAGCATGGAGATCGTAATAACCTTACCTAACCCAGTTTGTTACCCATCTATCATTCCGTTTCACTCATATCTTTCATATTCAATAACAAATTCAATTTATTCATTCATGGATTAACCACTAAGCCCAATCCTTTGAGAAGCAATCTCAAAGAACGTAACCCTTTGTCCTCTCCCTCTCTCGGTACCTTTAACGAATTTGCGCCGGGATTTGATGCCGGGATAACACAAACTTCTAATCAGGCGAGATAGAGAGAACGGTCTCTTACCTCGGTGCCCTAGAAATCCCCCTAAGGCGTTATTATGTACCCCATTTCGTCTGGTAAGATGGGGCGGGCGTCGCGGCGTTGAATATTGGCGTCGTTCCAACGAGCGCCAGAGCCATCTGTCGTCGCCCTACTCCCCGAAATTAATTGCTGCGACCTTTTTTGAACGAGTCGTGTTTACCCCCGGTCGGCTTTGCTTCGAAAATTATTAAACGGGGCTCGTCCTATCTGCAAACATGAAAAACAAGCTTGTTGTTAATGTTACATTACTAAACTAGGTATTCACTTCAAGTGATTTATAACATTTTATAGTAATAGTTTTATATAATAATAATAATAATAATAATGCCTTTATTAATAAGTCGCAAAAAAAAGGAAAGAAAATAATAATACACTCTTAGAAAATAGACTTATTTTCTGGACGAAGTTCAGTTTGGTTATTAACCAACTGCTCTTCCACTTAATCCAGAATATATAGAAAATATATATATAAAGCAAAAATGAGAATGTTTTTAACAATACTAATAAACAAAATGAAAAAAAAAAAAAAAAAAAACAAAATACAAAATACGACGACATGCCAGTATAAAGCGATACATTAGTAACTCAGAATATAATAAAAAAAAAATCATGATGACTCAAGCAGGAGGGAGGATTTTAATTTACTCTTGAACGAAATACAGTTCAATCCTATAAGGTTCATAGGTAGATCATTGTACGTTTTAGCTATCTGGTAGGAAAAGGATCGGTGCGAGGCGCGGCGTGGTACCGTCAATACATCTTTCCTCCTTATATTAATGTTATGGACATCGCTTCTGAAAGATAGGCGTTGCAGCAAGTAAGGAGGCCGCTGACTTTTAATAATTTTATAATAAACGCAAGTTGCATGCAGTTTACGTCTGTTTTTCATGTTCAACCACCCAGTCTCTGCCAACTTATGACTAATATGGTCATATTTACGAATTCCGTAAATAAACCTCAGACAACCGTTCTGAAGGTTCTGGATACGACGCCCACTCGCCTCCGTTAAATTTGGACCATAAACAACGTCGCAGTGATTTAATTTGCTTAGAACCAAGCTATCACACAGCATAATTTTTAATTTTTTACTTAAGACATCCCTATGGGCATACAAGAGACGCAGGGCGCCATACCCACCCCTCAAGCACCTGGCCACATGCTCCTCAAACCTCAACTGATGATCCAATGTGACTCCTAAAATTTTTATATCATCAGAAACAGTAAGAGGTTCGCCATCCACCACCAATTGACCGGATATCAAAGGCTTAATCGCTCTCCTTGTGACACTACCGCAAAACAGAAGAACAGAAGACTTAAATGGATTTAGCACAAGTTCATGGCGTTTCGCAACATCAGAAAATAATGCTATATCTGAGTTAAATTTTATGCAGGCATCAACCCAATTATTTGGATTAAAATTCAGCAGAAGCTGTGTATCGTCTGCATACAAGTGAATCTGCGAATGCTCGAGAACCTGGTCAAAATCAGATGTATAAATAGAGAACAATAGTGGCCCCAAAATGGACCCCTGAGGGACTCCACGAGTAACAGACAGAGCGCTCGACACTTGACTATTAATCTTCACAACCTGAGACCTGTCCGACAAAAATGACTTTATCAAAATTGCAGCTTGATTTCCAAGACCAAAATAATTAAGTTTAGATGCAAGTATATTATGATTTATTGTATCAAATGCTTTGGTGAAGTCCAACGATAACAAAAGTGCGGCTTGCCCGGCCTCTCTAGAAGCAAATACATCATCAGTAAGGTTCAATAAAGCTGTTGCGCAGCTGAAACCCGAACGAAACCCAGATTGTTGATCTGGCAGTATACTATACCTTTCGCAGTGTGCTCTAAGTTGCTTTTCCAAGACTCTCTCTAAAATTTTTGACATTACTGGGAGGATACTGATCGGTCTAAAATCCCTTAGGGCAGAAGGGGAAGATACTTTAGGTAATGCAATTACTTCAGCCATTTTCCAGGCATCCGGAAAAACTGATTGATGAACAGCAGCGTTTATTACGTGAGTAATATAAGGAATGAGAAAAGGGGTACACAAGTCAATCATCCAGATTGAGATACCATCAGAACCCACCGCTGCAGTTTTAATGTTATTAATTATTATAGATACTTCATGTTCATCAACAGGCATAAAAGCTTGCATTATCTGCACTCTAGGGTTTACATTATTTTGATAAAATATGGGTAATTCGGGATCAGTCTGGATATAAAGTGAAGAATCACCGTGAACAAAATAATTATTTAAATCGTTTGGAAGAAAAATGTTAGGCACTTTGTTATCGATTTTTTTATTTATATTTAGAAGTTTAATCTTTCTCCAAAGAGCCTTTGGATCTTTACTACGTAAGGCGTAATCATAGTATGCCTTCTTTTCAGCCCGCACCGTTGATGTTACCAGATTGCGATGCAACTTGTATGAAACCCAGTCTTGAGTTAGCTTAGACTTTTTGAATTTTTTAAGCGCATCATCTCGAATAGACATTAGTAGTTTAGTATTATCTGTTAGCCAGGGACTGGGAGGCTTTGTAAACCGTCTAGTTTTTAAAGGTGCATGCAAATCCATCAGAGTAAGTAAACAATTATTGAAAAAAGTTATTTTATCATTCACATTTTCTTGATCATATATGTTTCTCCACGGAATTGATTTCAGATCGTTCAAGAATTGTGGATAATTAATGTTTTTCACATCCCTGTATGTACGATAAATTGCAGCAGGCCTACCGATATCAAATGCCAGCTCACACTTTACTAGTTCATGATCAGATATATTAGGTACATTTACAACATCAATACTAGTAAACAGCTTATCATTTGTTGTAAAAACTGGATCGAGTAAAGTTTGCGAATTTTGTGTAATTCTTGTGGGTTCGGTGACTAACTGATGTAAGCCAATAGAAGTCGCAAATGAGTGAAGAAGTGTTGTTGAGGGAGAAGCTTAAGAAGATCAACATTAATATCGCCCACGATAATTATCGAGTGAGATGTAACAATACTCTCACAAAGGGTACGCTCCAGTGTTTCGATAAAAAGAGGAAGATTAAAATTAGGGGGCCTATAAACCACTCCAAAAGTAATACAGAGTTTTTTTCCTGCATCAACGGTAAAAAATAGTTGCTCAATAGAGCAGGAACTGTTTAGAAGCTGAAATCGTATAGAGTTTCTTATGTACACAGCAACACCTCCACCGCGCCCCCCACGATCCCTACGAACCAGATTGTAGCCAGGAATATTAACTAAAGAGTTGGATATATTAAGAGTTAACCAGGTTTCCGTCATCGCAAAAATATCAATATTGTTATCAAGGATTAAGGATTTTATTAGATTATACTTGGGAACCAATGATCTAACGTTCAAATGAGCTACGTTCAACTTCTTTTTATAATTTGAAATTTGAATCCCCCTCGAACCAGATCCATCGAACATTTCAGCAAAAAAAAAAGTTCAACAAGTACCAATTGATTATCAACAATGCTAAGATAAAAAAAAAATTTACTAAGCTAAAGAATGCTAAATACCGCAGGAATAACAAAAATAGGCGTTATAGAAAAAAAGTGCTTGAAGCCGAAGCGACTTACTAAAAAAAAGAACATTTTTGAAAATAATGGTTTTTAAAAAAAAAAAAAACAAAAAAATAACTATGATAATTTATGGTTTGTTAACTATTTCGTCTTTTTCTTATTGCTTCGTCTCTGGACGCAGGTTAGTAATCCAATTGGCGATATATTCCACCTCAAACTGAGAATCATATTTAAATTTGTTTTAATTTTACTATACAAATATCAGAAACATATATACACCTTATATCCTTCACATAATAGGAGAAGTTTGTTGTAATCGAACTCAAGTTCTTCTTGGCGCACGCCCAACCTTTTATCCCCAAGGGTTCGTAAGAGAGTAGGCACGTTAATCAACATCCAACCACTTTGCAAACTTAATCATTGGAGACGGTCGGGAATCGAGTCTCTGGCCGATAGTTTTGATAATTGCTTTGGAATCAGTTCCATTAGCTTCGCAATCAATCGGGGATTAGGCCGAGCCGGTGTTCTAAATTTTGAGGGAGCTCAGATACGAATTGAATTTCTATCCCCGTGATATATCTCCGAACTCCAGCGGTGCCGTTATAAATTTCAACGCTCTTTTGTTGCAGAACTGGGAAGTCCTGAATACGGCTGTCTTGACTGGCAGACAGGTGTCGCAAGCGATGAAAATATTCATAGTTTCTCAAGCAGGGAAAGCTGCCGACGTAACATTCCAGGCGTCCTGTCACTCGGAAGACGATAGCGTGTTAAAGGTAAGGTTGCGAACTGCATGATAAATAGCATTCGTATGAAATATACAATATCCATTTCGACGTTATGTTATAAACCGTTTGAATTAAAATCGAATTGATTTATTAATCTCATTTTTTTGCGGCCGATATTCCGATGCCGAGTACTCGCAATAGCCGCATCAGCGAAATGTTGGGAAATCAATACAAATCAAATACAGAACCTCAAAAACGGGCTGTTACAATAAGTCCTACCATTATTCCGTTATCGCATGCATAAGCGGATTAACTCACCAATATAAATTTCGATCATTACCAAGGTTTCCTTTCCATTCTAGGATTAATTTTTTTTTACAGGAATAGACATTTGTTTTGGCTAATTGATGAATATTTTAATTATTTATTTAAAATCATCTAAATATGAATTTTATGACAAAGTACATTTTGCTGTAATCCAATTAATTGATAATAGCTGCATTAAAATACCAAAACCGTATACTCTCAACGTATATTATCAATTTCAATTATTTCCGGAATAGTATAACGTTTATTGAGTAAATATACCAACAATAGCGGCATTGCCCATATATTACGATTAATATTAATATTAACCAAATAAAATTTGATGTTTTAAGCTAACTTTTTTTAACAATAAATTTAATATTTGTGATGATAAAAGTTTTGCGGAAGATTCGATAAATCTATTATAAGCTGCACTTTGGGACTGTCGTTCGTAAGATACCTCAACTAAACTTCAACCTTATCTAGCAATTCTAAACGATCAAAGCCGACAGTTTTCACAATTGGAAACTTAGTACTCGCAATGTTCAAAGAAATCCCTAGAGTTGTACCTTTAAAAACTTTTCCTCTTGCAATTCGCAGCGACAAAATTCTTTTTTCTTTAATTTCGTCTTACATATTTCATTCAATCGAAGCTTCAGACATGCTTATTACCACTTTTATCCCACCTCATTTTCAATTCGTGCAAACTTCTTATTGACACGAAAAGCATAACTAAACTCGAATGTGTTTTATCGTTTCTACACGTTTAGTATCAAAAATAATTTTTCTTGTATACTTTTTCAGGTATCTTCGTCGTGCAGTAGCGTATATGTTGATGGTAGCGAAGCGAGGGGGTCGGTGAATGGATCAGTTCTGGTGAAGTATGGGACATATACTGGCTTGGCACGCTTCACGGTCTGGATGCCGGAGTTCCCCCTGGAACTGCACGTCCCCGACACCCGTTTGTCACAGCTCAAGTACTGGAAAGTACCCGACTACCAGCCGAGGTGAGTGGGACAGCAATTAACCTGGCGAAGGCCATGGTATCGCTCTCAATCATGGTCGAGACGTGAGTTCGCAATCAACGTCAAACGCGACGGTTTGATTTAGAACCAACTGACAAGTGGAGGAAAATTAATTGTAGTAGCACAATTAAACTATGTTAAATTGCTGTTGATAATAAGAAAAATTGAGTTAAATTTGGACAAATATCAAGTGACCCAGACATGCTCTCATTGTTGAATTGAGTTGGAACTCTTCCAAATTGTTATATAATATAACATATTACGATCTATTTATAATTATGTTTCATTACAACAACCTTCAAGTTATACTAAAATGAAATCTATTTTTAAAATTTTGGCGGAGGAGCCGGTTTTTTTTTTTATTACATATTAACTTTAATTTAAACCTGTCAACTAAAATTCGTTTCGCATCTCATCATCTCAATTTCAATAGGAGCCGCTTCAATCAATTAATCATAATATCTTCCACCCACAACACTAAAGGAGAGGCGACGATGTTATTGCCCGATCGAGGAAGCCTGAAAATAACGACCGATAAACCGCTTTAAAGGCAACCAAGATAAATTGTGGCGCTGAATTAGCTACACAGCAATTCGGGCTGCATAAACCGCACGGCGACGCGTCGTGACGCCCGAATTTAGTTTGCATGTACATAAATTACTCGCTTCCGTCTGATTTTAGTGTTCTCCAAGTCTGTAATTGCATGTACTGGCGCTCGAAACGGTCCAAGAACTTTTTGATCCTTTTGCTAATTGCTCTGTCTTTCTTCTTCGTCTTTACTCCTCCCCGTTAAAGTTGGATAGTTGGCGAGAAAGAATTCTTTTCGTGTTTTCGGGATTAAATTCCTTCTGGGACGTTTGGATTTAATTAATTTTACCACTGAATTTTTGAATCGAAACATCCAATGAATTTTATATACTAATAGAAAAGTCAACGTATATGTTTTATATGTAGAAAAAAATGAATACAGCGCAATAAATCAGGATAAAATGAAAATGCCTGTTGTGAAAATCGGATTCGATAATATTTGTAAAAGCGGGGCAAAAAATCTAGTGCCATCACAATTTGTAGTGGTTGATAAAACGCTTTACATCTGGTGGAATTAAATTTGCCAGCTTTTTGTTATTACTGTTTGTTACGTATAAAACTTGTTGACACTAATTAATAATTTGCGTCGATAGAAAATTGTTTCTTATTTAATGATTAAATATATGGGATATAAATAAAATAATATAAAAACATTTGAAGATGAGCCGAACTTGGAGTTCTCTTTATCTTTTGCGCCAGCTATCTCATTAACAGATCGTAATATGGTTGCCCCGTTTGCTTGCGAACTTGTCAAATTAACTAGTAATTCTTCAATTTGTTTACCAAAATTTTCTATCGATTTCTCATTTTTTCTAGTCCTATGAAGTTTTATAGATAAAGAAGCTCCAGACTTTTTCGTCAATAAATGAAGTTTTATGTCATCTATTAATGAGTTTGTTGTATTCTTATATGAATTTATTATTAATTTTGCACTAGCACTAAGTCTAGTTTTTAAAACGTATGTTTTTAAAACGTATTGAACAAGAACTAACACTGGAACCTAAACATAGAACTAGAATCTTTCGGCTTTACCCGCACGTCTCTAAAAGCGGTTAAACCCGAATGTTTCTAGTTCTAGGTTCTAGTAACAGTGTTAGTGTTAATTCTAGTAGACGGCTTTTCTCGATGTATTCTGCATTCCAAAATGTAACACACCTTCCACTTAATCTAATATGAAATCGTAGCAATTCCACATCTTAATATACCGGGTGTCCCTCAGAAGTGGCTCACCCCCATATTTTTTTTTATTATTAGTGATATAAGAAAACCATTTGGAGTGCATAATTAGGCCGTTAAAACGGATTATTACGACATGAAATCATACTCTTTGTACTTCCGGTTATACCGGATGTGAGTGCTAATTTCGCTAGTTTTTTAAATCTATAAATTTTTTTTCTTCAGATGAGTAGACAGCATAATTTCACATAACTTTTACTTGAAAAAATTTTCATGATCGCTTATAATTTTTGAAAAAAAAAAGTTATTTTCGTTGTTTTTCAACGTTTTAGTATATTCGGAAAATGTATTACTACTTTTGACGCATAGTAGCTAGGTTAATAGTATAAACTACCGTTATGTTCCTCTTGATTTGCTATTTCTCGAGCAGTGATCACTGCCACGCTTTAGTCAGCGGTTCTTTTTAATAATGGTGTAAATTAACAGTAGTATTAAATTAGTTTTAAAAGAAAAACGCGAACAAACAACTAAATTTAATTCAATTATTTTTGATCTTTTATTTTTTATTTGTTGTTCTTTTACACTAAATGTTCTGTAGCTGATGGTAAATTACAATGTACAATGTCCATTGTACATTATGGTTTGGATTGTTTACTTTATTTTGATTAAAACCTATCAAGGTGGCTATGGAAAAAAAATTGCTAGCAATTTGACATAACGTAAATTAAGTAACGTAATTAAGTTCATTAGTTGACAATATTCGTTAATTTCAATTTAAATTATGGAAAAATTCACGCAAATCGAAAAAGTAGATATGATATTAATATTTGGAGAATGCAGAAAAAACGCAGTTGCTGCTGCTAGACTTTACGCGCAGAGATTTCCTGGTCGTCGCCACCCAACAAGGCATTACTTTCCAAAAATTGTGGCGAAAATGCAAACAGAGCCGGTCAATAATGGAAACCTTAGATACATTGTAAGTGGCGATACGGAACGAAATGTTTTGGCATGTATCGAAAATAACAACAGTGCATCAGTTAGGGAGATTGCGATACAGTGCGAAATTTCAAAAACATCAGATTTTAAAAAAACATAAACTTCGTTCTTACAAATACCAATTACATCAACATTTGTACGAGAATGATTATGAAAGACGACTCCACTATTGTAATTGGTATTTAGAAAGATATGAAAACGATAATGCATTTCCCTTCAAAATTCTGTATACAGATGAGAGTCGATTTACTAACTTGGGTATGTTTAATCGAAATAATAAAAGGTATTGGGCACAAGAAAATTTATATTTGATGGAGGAAGGGAATTTCCAAGAAAGATTTNTAGTTTTATTCTAAAACAATAAGAAATAGACCTGTCAAACCCTATATTTTTGTAATCAGAAAAAAATAACGAATTTAATAAGCGAATAATCAGTGGTTGTTTCCATTTAAAAAAATGAAAATTGTCATGATATCTCAAAATCTAAAACCGAAAAAATTTTTTTGTCTACATCATCAAATTCTCTGTAAAAAAGTGTCCATATAATGTCTTAGTTATAATACTCCACCTAGAATAATGACGAAGATAATTGCACTTGCTGGTTTTACGATATTTTCAATTTTGGTCTCTAGGGGACAAACAAAAGACGATAGCGTTATGAGGTTTTCGACATTAGCAGTTTCTCGAAAAACGAGATCATGACATGGAAGCTACTTTTTTTCTAACTCTTATAGTTTCCGAGTTAGGCTATTCGGACATCGAATTTGAACCACCCTGTACATTATGGTTTGGATTGTTTACTTTATTTTGATTAAAACCTATCAAGGTGGCTATGGAAAAAAAATTGCTAGCAATTTAACATAACGTAAATTAAGTAACGTAATTAAGTTCATTAGTTGACAATATTCGTTAATTTCAATTTAAATTATGGAAAAATTTATGCAAATCGAAAAAGTAGATATGATATTAATATTTGGAGAATGCAGAAAAAATGCAGTTGCTGCTGTTAGACTTTACGCGCAGAGATTTCCTTGTCGTCGCCACCCAACAAGGCATTACTTTCCAAAAATTGTGGCGAAGATGCAAACAGAGCCGGTCAATAATGGAAACCCTAGATACATTGTAAGTGGCGATACGGAACGAAATGTTTTGGCATGTATCGAAAATAACAACAGTGCATCAGTTAGGGAGATTGCGATACAGTGCGAAATTTCAAAAACATCAGATTTTAAAAAAACATAAACTTCGTTCTTACAAATACCAATTACATCAACATTTGTACGAGAATGATTATGAAAGACGACTCCACTATTGTAATTGGTATTTAGAAAGATATGAAAACGATAATGCATTTCCCTTCAAAATTCTGTATACAGATGAGAGTCGATTTACTAACTTGGGTATGTTTAATCGAAATAATAAAAGGTATTGGGCACAAGAAAATTTATATTTGATGGAGGAAGGGAATTTCCAAGAAAGATTTGATTTTAATTGTTGGATGGGAATCATTGGAGAAAGAGTGGTGGGTCCAATATTTTTTGATGGTCATCTTACAGGGGAACTGATTTTTTAAGCTGAAAGTACAATAACGATTGGATTGGTAATAATGGACCAATAAAGTGGCCACCACGGTGAGAACAAACCGGTTCTTTCTCACATTTCTCCTTATTCCTATCTTTTTACCTTCCAGATCACGATATCAACCTGACCTCACACCTTTAGATTTTTTTTATGGGGCAAAATAAAAAATGAGGTGTATACTACACCTGTAAGGTCTCACTAATAATAAAAAAAATATGGGGGTGAGCCACTTTTGAGGGACACCCGGTATAACATTGCAAATTTTGACAGTATTTAATCGTTTATTTTTTTTATAGCATTACCAAACTTCGTAGAAGAAAAAAGAGATCGTACAATAATTTGTGGCGTGGAAACCCATTAAATGATGATTTGGGTAACGTCATAGAACGTCCAAACTGTCGGCTGCGGTACCAACAAACGACGGTCGACGTTTACGCCCATTTCATGGCCATAGACCACGACTCGGGTAGAGTGACCTATTTGATCAACCGCAGGACGCTCCTGCGAGTTACAGACCTCATCCTCCCTTCGCTTAGAGTTAGCGATCCGAGGATAGCGAGCCTTCACGGTAGGATTCTGCAAGGTCGCAGTATGGGGCGTACGGAAGTGCAGGTTAATGGTTTACCTAGTTCCAAACTACTTGTAAGGATATTAACGTTTGGTTTGTGTAGGTGCTATCTCCGATAACCGGGAGGGTCATTGGGGCCAAGGAGGTGCGGGTTGGAAATGATAAAGTCGGGCTTACCAGGTTATCCGTGCAGGTCGTCTCCGGGTTGCAACTTAACATCTCTCCCGATAGTTCTATTGAGAATGGATATGTCGCTGAGACTAGTGTTACAAGAAAACTTACTGCGCAATACCAAGTAATTAAAAATAATTCAAAAATAATTATTGTTTTATCTTTATTTATTTTTCAGGAAGGACTTTTAGATATTGTTTTGGAATTTTCCGATGATAGCAAAACCCCTTTACGCGAAATCTCCGATGCAGATTATCATTTAGTGGTGGAAAGTGTAGACCCTGAAGTTGTTGCATTTGCCCCGATGGTGGCTTCACATCATCCGAGAGTTATTGCAGTTGGGGAAGGTAGTGGGGATCTTTTGCAAGTCACTCTTCTTCTGTCTGAAGAATGCAAAGGTCCCGGTCGAGGAAAATCTAAAGGTTCTGGTCCATTGGCGACAGCAGCAGCTTCCGTTGTCGTTGATTTTAGCAGCAACGATTTGGCACATAGACCGGATTTGCTTCAAAACGATGGCGGATCATATGGATCGTCAAAAGGAAACAGAGATTTTCAGGATTTACAGGACATCTTAAAAGATGATGAGCCAAACGTTCAAGCTAGACAATACCAAGGAAATAAAGTTGTTAGGCATCACACTAATCAAGGTGGAATGACCCCTCTAGAAATTGGAATGTATGTTTTATTGGCGGCTTTTTGTTTTGCAATCGTGGTCTTTGTAGTTTCTTGTGTGGTGTATGCTTCGAAATTTAAGCCACTAGAGCTGGGATTGGATAGTATTAGAGCAGCTCCAGCGAGTTCGATTAACCCCGTAATTCATAGGGAACATCGCAAACCCAGAGAAACAACAACAAACGCACACGATTGGGTTTGGTTGGGACGAGCTACTTTGGATCATTCGAACAGAAATTCAACGGTCAATAACAACACATCCGAAATAAGAATAACCGCGAATCCGTTGAATTTAAATTACGTTGAACCCGAAGATTGCGTAGTTACCAGTTTTAGTAATCCAACTCACATTGAATTACCCAGCCGATCAGATCTAGCCCAAAAGCCACTTGTTGACACAAGTACTTATTGCAAAAACAAACCAGGAGTATCCGAGATACCAGAAACTTTAGACGATGAAGAAGATTTAGAGATTTGGAATAAACCCACCCCTCCACCACCTCTTCCTCCTCACGGTATTCAGACACAACTAGAAAAATTAAAAGAACATTCCATCGAAGAATATAGACCCCCTGTTCCCCCTCATCGAAACATTGGAGTTTCAACTCAAAACACATCCGCGGATGCTTCACCAAGTAGAAAACATCATCACCACCACCACCACCGAAACAGCAAACACCAAGAAAAACCTAAATACGACCCAAACTTCGTTAGGTACTCCAGAAACGATGACATCGTTATTGAATGTGGAACGCAAGATCCAAACTCTAAAAAAAGCGTTTTTGAATTCGACGATGATCCACCCATTTCCAGCGCAACAGAATCCTTGGAGGCTGCCCCAATCGTGCAGAATCACCAACCAAAAACGAATGAGGAAGAATTAAAATTCGTGCAGTATCCAAAGTCACCAACTAATTATAGAAATCGTAAGAAATTCCTGATAATTGTGGTATTTCCTAAATTATACGAATTTATTTATTTTTAGCAAGAAATAGTGCGGAGGTAAAACGTGCCACAATCATCGGCAATCCTATGTTTAGTGCGGATGATCATCCTCAAGAAGAAGTCTCAACCGATCTTGCAGGATTGGATGGGCTACAATTGGATATGGATTATGATCAAATTATGCATTATTTCGAAAATTTAAAGGTAATATATAAGTACGATGGTGTTTACTAATTGAACTAAGATTAGAACTAACACTAAATCTAGAACTAGAAACATTCGGGTTTAGCCGTCTTGAGAGACGTGCTGCTAAACCAGAATGATTTGAGTTCTAGATTTTGTGTTAGATGTAGTGATAGTGCTAGTGTAAACGTAGAATGTTTCTAGTTCTAGGTCTTGGGTTAGTTCTAGTGATAGTGCTAGTGTAAAGCTAGAACTAACACTAGACCTAGAACTCAAATCATTCGGGTTTAGCCGCACGTCTCTCAAGACGGCTAAACCAGAATGATTCTAGTTCTAGATCTTGTGTTAGCTCTAGTGATAGTATTAGTGTAAAACTAGAACTAGCACAAGACCTAGAACTCAAATCATTCGGGTTTAGCCGCATGTCTCTCAAGACGGCTAAACCAGAATGATTCTAGTTCTAGATCTTGTGTTAGCTCTAGTGATAGTGCTAATGTAAAACAAGAACTAACACTAGACCTAGAACTAGAAAGTTTCGGGTTTAGCCGTGCGTCTTCAGACCCCACTAAAAACTCCCCCTCTTTCCCCTCTCCGGAACCGCTCGCCAGAGCATTTCTTCGGAGATATATAACGTTCGTTTTTTTTGTTCTTTCTACTCTTCTTTTCTTCTTCATCTCTCTCCCCTCACTCACTACTTCTCTTCCTTTTCATTCTCTCCCCGCTCCTCAGAATGCGAGAAAATAAAATAATTCGCTTACTTTTTGAAATCATATTAAAATATCACTTACCGGCGCGAGAGGGAGGTTCCCCCTTTTCTGCCCATCATCTCAGAGAAGCTTTCCGTCCCTTCTGCCGATGTTATCACAGGATTTCCTTTGCGGTGATCCATCTACCCTCCTTTCTCTGGCATTCTCGTACAAAACAAATGATCCTTGTTACTTTTTTGAAATTCATTATTTGCTATACATACCCGGTCGAGGGGGAATCTCCCCCCTCTTCACCGACCTGCTCTCGCTCCGCTCCAGCTCTTTCCCTTTCTCTCTCCCGCTCTATCTTTTCCTGTTTCTTTAGGATTGCGGTTACCATCATTGCTACGGCCTCCTAATTATTCTCGCTCTGTAGCATAATTTGCACAACGTTTGTTTTATTCAATTTTGCCCCGCAGCTGTCTTCGCATTCGGCTCTTTCTTCTTGGAATTCTTCACACTTGAAAATTGTATGTTCCGGACTGTCGGGTTCTTCACAGAACCAGCAGGTGTCACTTTCTGCTTTCTTAATTTTGTGCAGGTAGTTGCCAAACACACCGTGACCCGTTAGAAACTGAGTCAGGTAGAAGTCCGGCTCCCCCCACTGTCTCTGCAGCCATGCTTCTACGTCGGATATGAGCTCTCTCGTCCACCCCATATGCTCTTCCCATCTTCTCTTCCATTCTGTTAAGGCCCTTTTCCTATTATTCACTCTTTCTTCTCTCTCCACACCGAAGTTCCTTGCCCTTTCCTCAGCCATTATGTCCAGGGGCATCATGCTTGCTATCACCTCTACTCCGGTCGCTGGCACCGTTCTATACGCCGATGTGACCCCTATGGCAAGTCTTCTATTTACTCTCTTTAGCAGGTTTTTATATTTAGTATGTTTCAAGGCTCTCTGCCATGTCTGTGCGGCGTATAGTACTGCCGATTTCGCCGCTGTTGCCAAAAGTCTCCTTTTGTTCGATCTTGGGCCTCCTGTATTGGGCATAATACGCATCAAAAGTCTTCAGACCCCAACCCAACCCAACCCAACCCAACCCAAATTTTTCTAGTTCTCGGTCTAGTGTTAGTTCTAGTTTTAATTCAATAAAAATATGCAACACAGTGATATCTAATGCTAATTAGCACTGTCAGTAGAGACAGTGTTGGTGCAAAACTAGAACTAACACTAGACCTAGAACTAGAAATATTCGGATTTAGTCGCACGTCTGTCAAGACGGCTAAACCCGAATAATTCTAATTTAAGGTCTTGTGTTAATTGTAGTGATAGTGCTAATGCAAAACTAGAACTAATACTAGACCTAGAACTAGAAAGTTTCGGGTTTAGCCGTGCGTCTTCAGACTTCGTCTTAGTTCTAATTTTAATTCAATAAAAATATGCAACACAGTGATATCTAATGCTAACTAGCACAGTTAGTAGGGACAGGTTGTAGAGAGAGTGTTGGTGCAAAATTAGAACTAACACTAGATCTAAAATTAGAAATATTCGGGTTTAGCCGCATGTCTCTCAAGACGGCTAAACCAGAATGATTCTAGTTCTAGTTCTTGTGTTAGTTCTAGTGATAGTGCTAATGTAAAACTAGAACCAACACTAGACCTAGAACTAGAAAGTTTCGGGTTTAGTCGTGCGTCTTCAGACTTCGTCTTAGTTCTAATTTTAATTCAATAAAAATATGCAACACAGTGATATCTAATGCTAACTAGCACAGTCAGTAGAGACAGGTTGTAGAGACAGTGTTGGTACAAAATTAGAACTAACACTAGATCTAGAACTAGAATCATTCGGGTTTAGCCGTCTTGAGAGACGTGCTGCTAAACCAGAATGATTCTAGTTCTAGATCTTGTGTTAGTTCTAGTGATAGTATTAGTGTAAAACTAGCACAAGACCTAGAACTCAAATCATTCGGGTTTAGCCGCACGTCTCTCAAGACGGCTAAACCAGGATGATTCTAGTTCTAGATCTTGTGTTAGTTCTAGTGATAGTATTAGTGTAAAACTAGAACTAGCACAAAACCTAGAACTCAAATCATTCGGGTTTAGCCGCACGTCTGCCAAGACGGCTAAATCTGAATAATTCTAGTTCTAGATTTTGTGTTAGTTCTAGTGATAGTATAAGTGTAAAACTAGAATTAGCACAAGACCTAGAACTAGAAAGTTTCGGGTTTAGCCGTGCGTCTTCAGACTTCGTCTTAGTTCTAATTTTAATTCAAAAAAATATGCAACACAATGATATCTAATGCTAACTAGCACAGTCAGTAGAGTCTCTACAACCTGTGTAGAGACAGTGTTGGTGCAAAACTAGAACTAACACTAGATCTAAAATGAGAAATATTCGGATTTAGCCGCACGTCTCTCAAGACGGCTAAATCCGAATGTTTCTAGGTCTAGTGTTAGTTCTAGCTTTACATCAACACTATTACTACAACTAACACAAGACCTAGAACTAGAAACATTCGGGTTTAGCAGTTTTGAGAGACGAATGAAATTTTAATTTAATTTCTTTTAGGAATCGAATGCCTGAGTAGAAGAGATCATTGCAAGAATCCGAAGCATTCTCATGTCGTTCAGTAAACAATACAGAATGGCTGCGCTGAACGGAAACGTTTCGAGCACAATTTTGGAAGAGGACGTCAATGAGAACTTTGATTACATATTCGACCATCTCAGTGAATCATACGCTTAGTATGGATAACACTGAATTGAAAAAAGTTGGGTTGTTCTGTCAATTAATTGAAAACAAAAATAATCATCGGTTAAGAAAAACTGAAGAGTAATAATCGCCTTGTTGTCTCAATTTTACGTAACTGCTTTAACATCATCACTTTCACATCTTAGCGATAACGGAACAGAGTTTTATGAGAAAGCGCACATAAAATAACAAGTTGAGAGAGGAAAATGTTTATATTTATTTTATGTTGATGTCATATCATATTATTTTTTGTGTGCTTTTCAAATATAAACGCATAATATATCAGAAAATTTGTGAAGACTGAATTATTAATTTAATATTAAGTTAATTTCCGAGCAGCATTGGTTTGTTGTGATTTGATTTTTTTGAATGAACAGCCTAAAACATGAATATATCAATTGAATGACGTCGGAATTTTGCAGTGATCGCAAAACAGTTCAATCATCTAGTCAAGAAAAGTAACGTTTTACTATTAAAAATCAGTATAAGGAATAAAACGTTAGCTGCATCGACTGATTACGTAATATTTGTACTGTGTACGCTAAACTAAAGCAAGGTTAATAAATGAATCGTAAAAAGAAAAACAATTTTGCGATTCATTTATAAATCGCCGATTAACGTTGTAGAATGTAGATGCGAATGAAAAATATGCACAATGCCGTTCCTGTAAGTTATGCCCACGAGAGAAAAAATAATTAAGATTAAGACTTTATTTATTTTTTAAATCTTCCAATGATAATTTTTTTATTGTATATATGAAATTGCCATAGATAATTAGTTAACTTATTTTTATTTATCAAAGATGGACAAACCATTAATTGCTATAGATAGTGTGCCATAAATTCACAATTAACATTCCAAATAATATTAAAGATTTGGACCAATAATTCCTGAAATGATTGCTTTACAAAAATTGTATTGGTTGTCCATCTAAGTGAATATAAAATAGCTTTTGTATTTTTTGTACAACTCTTTAATAATTAATTTTGTACATATATTGTATATTTCCCAACAAGAGCGCCATTGAAAATTATTTATTTTTTAATTAAAAACGAAATAGTATTTTTCTTTAATGATAAACAAATAATAAAGTGTAGGTTTTCTTACTCGAAAAGAAATGAACAGCTTTAGAAGGCAATTCTAGTCCATAGCGTTTAATAACAACACAGCAACATTAAACAACATTAACAAGAAATTAATCAATTGACTGTTTCGTATTAAAATCTAAATAAAACCTAAATTAGTAATATTGATAGCGTGTATATCCCCACGTGATTTAGTGGCACTTGAGCTTAAACAATACAATTAAATAAACTTGCGATTCGGTTATTCTTAAATATTTTCCCCAATATAATAATTGATAATATTGTCATACGGGTGCAGCACGGATTTTACCAAATATTAATAAAAACAAATTATATCTATATTTTAAGCGAGGATCATCATTTTTTCACTACTTTATAAATTCTAGCTATAAATTTCACTTCATAATGCAAGCAACAGCGACGGACGATGTCAAATTTAGTCATCAACATTTGTGTTATGGTTGTAACGTTCTGATGCTTAAATATTAAATATATGATGTATATGTATATATCGGATAGAATACGATATAACGATTATATATTGTTAATGTATAAATTGATATGACTACGAGATATTATTTGGAAATGAGTATTAGAGCTCGAAAATGAACGATGCATTACTTAATAATAAATGTGCTACAAAATAAATTATTGCATTTCTTTTTAGTTACTACCTTCATTGAAATCCCGATTTGTTATGATTTTTATGATGGTTAAAAATTAATATATCAAAAATTAAAAGGTATTTTGAAAATCTTGAAATCCTTCCACAGCTCTAAAAATAATAATAAGATGATTATACGATATTAACTTGTTAGTTATTGTAATTTTCTAACCATGCAGTAACACAATGAAGTAAAAAATAAATAATATTAAATCAAAATAATTAAATTTATATCTTGTTCTAGATATTGTTGACGCCTTATCTATGTCGGTTTGCATCCAACTAATTAAAGAGAAGATTAACTTGCAACCGAGGCGTTACGATCTATTTACCACCTTTTTGATAATATTAATTGTAAAGCCTTGGGCACAACCAACCTCAACTTAATCAGGCGAAATTATACATTTTTCTTTTTAAGTTTAGCTACAGTCGCTTTGAATATTGAATCTATTGTACAGTGTGTTAATTAATTATCGTACCCGACATCATCATTGCAAGTATGCAACCAATAACACGATTAGCGTATTACAATACGAACACTGTGATATTGGTTGCATACTTGCAATGATGACGTCGGGTACGATAATTAATTAACACAGTGTATTTATTGTAGTGCTTTGGCTTCAAACGACCCGGTATACTATACTACGTATTTTGCAGAAACCTCTATGGGCCACTAAGGTTCAACTTAAGAGGGGAAAGATATTTACATTTAGAGCGAAAATAAGTGCATTTTCAAGACTTTTTTATTAAGATGTAATTAATTTTATAAGTACGAAGGCTTTCACGGCCGATGTGAATTAAACTAAGAGGCGTGCTGCAGAAGAATGGATACACTTCGAGGGACATCAACCAGGCCATCAAGCAGCGAAAGCAGAAAGAGGACACGGTAAGTACAAAACCACTTGGATTTATCTGTCTTCCCTATGTTTCAGGTGTAACGGAACGAATTGCTAGGCACCTCAAGAAGAACGACATCGTAGTGCGGTACGGCACGGTCAGCAAAATTCGGAACACACTCCCGATAGCCAAGGACAAACTAACTCCATTAAAAGGAGCGGGAGTCTATCGACTATCGTGTAGTTGTGGGAAGGTTTATGTTGGCCAAACTGGACGCAACGTCGAGTGCCGCATCAAGGAGCATGAGAGGGATGTAAGGCTGAAGAAGATCCAGCAGTCGGCGGTTGCGGAACATTGCCATGCAGAGGGGCACCGAATAGACTTCGAACAAACAAAGGTGCTGGCTAGGGACAACAGATACTACCAAAGACTGACAAGAGAAGCCATAGAGATTCACCGACATAAAAATAACGTCAACAGAGAGGATGGCTGGGAGCTTAGCAGAACATGGAAGATGGTGGTGAACACGAAGACCTCTTCCCGCCTCACACCGGACGCGACGCAATTAGTTATTAATTAGTTTGTAATTAGCGTTAACTGATTATTAATTAGTTTTTCCGACTTATATATAGTTACCGATTTTTTGATCTCGTCACTTCGAACCAGTTTCTGAAGTAGTTTGTAGTATGGCATCCGAAACGTCAAACCTTTTATTAAAAGACGCACGGCAAAACCCGAAAGTTTCTAGTGTTAGTTCTAATCTTAGTTTAATGTAATTAATTTCACACATTTTGTTCATTCACTACTGTTTGCTCGTGCTTTATACTATAAAAATATACATTCACAATTTCTAACACTTTTCAAAATGACCTTTCCAAAATAGCAATCGTCTTAGGGCCGGTTGTACAATATACCGATAAATCTGTCTGATAACTATCCGGCCGATAAACTAATCGGGAGGATAAAGATATTCGCTGTTGTACAAACTGTTTTTGTCGGGAGGATTGCTTTCTTGTAATTGTGTAAATTGTGCAATTAGCGTTTTGAAAAATATCGAAAAATGTTTAATTTGTACGATACTAGTACCAGCGAGTCCGAAAACGAATTTTTAGTTAATGTGTTTTTAAATAAAAGAAAAGAAAAAGAAATTAAAGAACGCCTAACCACATGGCGCAGTGGGATGAAACGGATTTTTTTAAACGGTTTCGGTTAACAAAAAAAAGTGTTATGTACCTATTAGGTCGAATTGCGGATAGGTTGGAAACTTCCACAGACAGGTAAGGAGAAATTGGTAGAAAATCCATAACTGAATTCAATACCAAAGTTTATAACTACTATATTTTTTGTGTATTATAGAAATGCAGCTGTAACCCCTTTAAATCAGTTGTTACTGACGCTTCGTTTTTTTGCTACCGGGAGTATGCTCATTGTTGTCGGAGATTTTTGTGGTATACACAAGTCAACCGCAAGTAGAATTATAAAGAAGGTTTCTGAAGCAATTTCTAGTCTCAAAAACGAATTTATTTACTTTTCGCAAGATCACCAGGAAATAGATAGAATATGTGAGGAATTTTATGCAATTGCAAGATTTCCTAAGGTTATAGGAACAATTGATTGCACACATATCAAGATTCAGTCACCTGGTATGAATTATTGCTATTTGCTTTTAATGTGTCAGTAAGTACTATGTATTTTTAGGTGGTGATCATGCGGAAAATTTTAGAAAACAATTTAATGCAAACAATTTACGATGCCAATCTATGTATAAGAGACATAGTGGCTCGATGGCCTGGTTCAAGCCACGATAAAGCCATTTTCAATTCTATCATAAAAGCCAGGTTTGAGCGAGGCGACTTCCAAAATAAAGCAAAAATTATTTCAACAGGCTTTGCTTCGCACAAGAAATTCTGTTGAACGTAGCTACGGTGTATGGAAACATAGCGTTATGTAAGCTCTACAGTAATATTTCAAATAAAAATACCTATTATAACGGATGTGCTAGGGCTTATAAAAGCTTCATCACGCTTTAAACGTTTGTCTATGGAACTTGTGCTCTGCAGTTCATCTTGGACATCTGATATAAAAGAATTAACAGTTAAGATTAAACATGCATTTCTCATAAACAGAGTTAAACACATATATTATAAAATTGGTAAATAATTAACCTAAACAATCACTATCAAATTGTGATGGTGTTCCATCGCAGCTTAGTTTTATCAAATTTCTAATTCTTTCATGTAACGGGTTTAACTTTTCTTCACATGGTCCTCCATCTGTACCCATCACATCAGTGCGGTATTTCGCAACGGCTTGACGAGCCTCTTTTTTTAATGTTTCGTATTTACTGCGAAGCTGTTCCCATATATACATATATATACATACCGCATCTGTTTTTTTATTTTCTATAATATTAGCTAGATTTTCTACTATTTCAATTAATCGTCAACACTCCTCTTGTGTATAATTAGTAGCACGTTTATTTTTTTTCCCTTCCATAATAACAAACTAACCAAACTTTTTCACGACAGACAAGATTTGTCAATGTTGTTATATAAAAACCTTGGTAATCATAGATATCTGGCGGATAACCGTCTTATCGGCACCTCTGAGTACCCAATAAGTTATCCTGTCGATAATCTCCCCAACAAAAATATGCGTACA